CCGGGCCCTAAAGAGCCTGCAGTGCAGCGTGCCCGGGCAGAGCAATGGGGGCGGGGCTTCGGCAGCCCACGGAGAGCTGCTGGGACAAGCACTCTTCCGGCCAGATGCACGAGAGCTGGGCACAGACCCCACAATCCCTTGTCCTGAATCTGCAGATTGTCCCCAGCAATGGCTGCCTAGCAGCTACTCCAACTGCAGAAGCGGCTGTTGCAGGCAGTAAAAAGCTGCTGCCCTCTGGTGGACAGAGCGGACATGAATAGTGGGGGGTGGGGACCGTTCCCAGGCCCCCGTCTGTCCACGTTAGGAAAATGTACTAGGGACTTGAAAATATCTGCGAAGTCCAACTGTTCATCTAAGAAAATGTGAGCGTTCCTTAAAGCCCACCTCTCGCTCCTTTATCTGGAAACACGCCTTTTCCCAGGGCAGGCTCTTCTGACACCCAGGGGTGAAGTGGTGGCTGCTGCCTGGGCCTGGTCCCAGGTCTGAGCCAGGAGTCAGGAGCCTTCCAGGGTGCTCCTCCCTGACCCTCACAACACTGTGTCCCCCTCAGGGGAGGGGATGTCAGGTCAGGGCATGGATCCCGGGTTCCAGCCCTATGATGACACCCCCACTTGCTATGACAGTCCCGAGCCGGCTGTCGTCGTAATCTGTCACCGTAATTGGTAAAGCAGCACCCGTTTCCTATGGTGAATGATTTTTAAAAAAACAGATGTCATTGCCTTTAAAAGCTCCTCTCTATAAGATAGAGGGACCCACTTTATAAATGAGGAAATTGAGGCTCAGTAAAGGCCTGGGGACTTGTGCTAGATGGTCTATGAGGATGGCAGCAGAGCCTGCTAAGGGACTTAAGTCTCCCATGGCCACTTCTAGGACCCTTGGTTGGCTACAACCTCCATTTGGGTGGCTCGCTACCCAAATGCCTATCCCTGGAGACTAAGTAGGCCTCTCCTGGGGACAGGTCTCTTCTTGAGACTGCTCTGGCCAGAATCCACCCCTGCCTAGCTGCAGGGAGCCCAGGACACCCTGGTTCCACTTCTTTTCCAAGTGCCTGGACCATGGCTTCACACTCACCTGGGGGCCAGCCAGGTGATTGAGGGTGAGAATGGCAGGGGTCAGCTCTGTGAGCTGGCCAGGCCCCTCCCCAGCGGAGTTTTAGCAGCACCATTTCTCACACTCGCTCAGTGTTTCCTGCTGGTCCAGTGTTGTCCTGCATGACCCTGTTTACTCCCCCAAACCTGGCTAAGCGGGGCTCCAGCGCTAGTGCGGTTTCCCACGTGTGCACTTTCAGCAGGGGTCAGCCCATCACCCACCCAGGGCTGTCTAGCACCTCACCACCACTCGTCACCATGACAGCATGATGCTCACAGGAGCAGGCATTGTCTCGCAAGCAGGGAGCCCCCTCAGCCTGGGCTAGGAAAATGGGCACGGGGTGGGGGGCTGCTGCTGGACACCTTCCTCCTCTCTCCTTGGCACACTACCTAACCTGGCTCCCTCCTCACCCCTAGGCCTCCTCTGAGCCCGGAGAAGAAGTGGCACCTTTTCCGAGTCTTCCCCGAGAACCTGAAGACCTACCAGACCTTCCCGTCGGGGAAGAGGGTATCCTCCCAAGAACGGCAGAAGAGAGACACCTACTTTGAGTTCAGAGCATGAGCCTGGGAGATGGAGGCCTGAGTGCCTTGGCTCCAGCTAGGCTGCCTTGCTTGGAATAAATAAAATCTTGGCCAAGACCACCCTACGCCCCTCTCCCCTGAGTCCCAGGGCCATTTGGCCACAGCAGAAAAGTGTCCCTGAGGGTCACACTGCAGTGTATCCCAAGGGCCTGTGGGAAGCTCAGCCCAAGGGGTTCTAGTCAAGGAAAAGCATGTCCAGTTTCTTGGAGAAATTGCTCACCTCCTTCCCAAAGTGAGGCACGAGGAATCAAGGTATGGAGAATCCCCAAGTCTTGGTGGCAGGTCACTCGGCACAGAGAGAGACCTCTTGGGCACAGAGACCTCTTGTCGGCTCCCGCTGGTTAACTGAGGAAGCAGGAGGGCCCATGTCTGAGGTGGGGGTGAGCTGGCCCTGAATGATTGCACTAGTGAGAAGGGAAGGAAGTCCCATCGGACCCCTGACCGCACCTCGTCGTCTGGTCCACACAGCAGCCTGTGAGGGAGGCTTTATTGTCTCCACTTTATGGCTCAGAGACGTGGAGAAAGTTGCTGAGTTTACCCAGCTAGGAAGTGACACAGCCAGGATTTGAACCCAGGTCTTTATGACTCCCACGGCCTGATTTTCCATATGGAGACTGAGGGGCAGGGCCGACACAGCCATGAGGTCCTTGAAGAGCCATGTGAAACGACTATGTCTACACTCTGCCCAGACCGGCATGTCTGGGCTGATTGCACATTTCTCCTGGGGCCATTTCTAGAAGGAGGTGGCCAGAGGACCCAGACTGAGCCACCCTCACAGACTGTGTGTCTCCGGACCCTCCATGCCAGAGTGGGCCCTGGGCACAGGTGGCCTTGGAGGCTCTGGGTGTCGGCTCTCACTGGCTGCTGCTTCCGGCCTCTTGGGAGCCCCCTGCCTGCAGACCAGGAGGTGGGTTGCAAGCGACTGCCCTCACTTGAAAGGCTCTGGGAAGAGGACTTCAGGCCAGGTGTGCACCCACACCACAGGCCTCTTTCCACATCCCAGCACCCCCTAGATTTGGTCAAGGAGACTCCACCAAGCAACAGGCCTTTTGCCCCTGATTGGGTGAGGTGGAACCCAAAGACGAGGTGGAACCCAAAGACAAGGTGGGACCCACCCGAGGGTGCAACAGCCCTCCCCCTGCATTTGACACCTCCCCAAGAAGCCCTGTGCCCATCAGGTGGGCATCTGACAGCTGTCAGAGACTACCATGGGGGTGCCTCCTGTGGCTTTCTGACCAGCTAGGCTCCAAAGGGGTCGCTGTGGTGGCCAGATTCATTCCAGGGTCTGGCTGAATAGCAAAGCAAATAAACCCTGATAGCTGGTCACACACTCTCTCGTCCCTAGGGCTGGGGGGTGCCGAGAGGGTGCCAAGATGTCTTCTCGCTCGGAAGAGGACGCGCCGGCTGGAATGAGTGCTATGTGCCTGTCTCTCTGCAGCCCTGCTCTGAGATGCTTGGGAGGGGGCTCCAGCGGAGGGAGGAAAGGCCAAGTATTTTCCCAGTGAACTTCATCCCATTTGGCCTGGTGTCCTCTGCTGTGACATGGGATGGGACTTGAACCTTGCTCTCAAAGGGATTGTCCAACCCAGCTTACTTGGTGGCATCTGCAAACTTAAGCCCTGGAACTAGCGGTTTTTAATAAAAAGTACTTGCATTTGATCCTTTATTCCAAAAGCAATGCCCCGGTGGGCTCAGGAAAAGGCTTTTCTTTGACTTTATTTAGCAAACAACATTCTAGAGGTGAGGGAGGCCGGAGACAACGTCGTGCTTCTGATCACATCCTCCCGTCCAGTGGGCTCCCTCGAGGCTGTCATATCAGGAGTTGGCGGTCATGTCAGCATCCCCAGAAGTGAACCCGAAACGAGCTGAAAGAAAGAATTCTGTGAGCCACTGGAGCCTCGAGCCTCGAGCCTCAGGGCCCTCTCCTGTCCCTTATTCTGGGCAATTGCCTCTTGCAGCTGTCCCCAACCAACCCAAACCTTTACACTTCTTAGGATCATGGGGAAGTGTTGGGGGCAATCTTAGAATCCTGTGGCACAAGAATCAGTGGAAAGAAACAGGAGTGATTTAGAGAGAATTCCAGCAGACCGGATTCCAACTTCACTTATGGACCAGCTGTTATAGAAGAGGAATTACCTTCCCTGAGAGAACCTGTCCAAGCCACAGCCCTTTGGCAGCCATGTTGGGATGGAGAGACCCTTCCTCCATGTAGATGGTTGAAAAAGGGTAGACACCTGAGTGAGCCACCCTTCAAGAACTCTGGGTGTCTTAAGACCCTTCAGGCCCAGCCGGGGTGGGAGAGGCCTTGGGAGCTCAGTGTGTCTGCTACCACCAGGGAACTGTTCCCTACTTCCAGGAAGGGTTCTGCCTGCTGGGCCAGGGGTCAGGTCACAATTGACCACCCCACAGTGGGAGGACACAAGGTGGTTCCAGAGAACCATTTTTGGGGATTTGGAGTCAGAGGTGAGGTTGACTCAGGACTCCCTGAAGACCATTAAAAACCAAGGAGACATGCACTTGATCACCTGAAGGAAGCCATGTTTGGTCTCATATCTGACAAAGCAGAGCTTGCTAGTCTGAAGCACAAACTAAGTGTGGAGGAGTGAAGAGAGGCAGTGACACTGGCACAGAGAGAGAAGCCAAGCCAACCTGGCTCTCGCCCATGTGCTCGCGAGGCTGGATCTCTGTTCTTTCTCATTTGGATTGTTGGATAGGCATGCTTCCCTGCTGTCAAAATCACCCAGACTGTGAGATTGAGAGGCAGAATAGGGCCCAGGAGAAGAAGACGTGTGTCAACAGATGCCAGCTCAACACCAGGAAGGCCACTCTAACAGAGGTCTTCAGTACAACCAAGGCCACCTGCAGAGGGACTGTGTTTCCCGTAACTAGAAGGATTCCAAAAGACCACTCAACATGGCCAGGCAAATAAAGAGGCAGCCAGTCACTTTAAGGGTGTTTGAGGACCGTTAAGGCCCCTTCCTGCCCTAGGACACAAGATTGGTTGGTTGTCTCATTAAGTTTCTTTTCTTCTATGAACTGCACCACCACCGTCTCCACGCCCCCATGAGAACCTCCAACTCCCCAGGGCCACTGGAGGTTGTAGGGGAGGGAAGCAGGAACAGCGGCAGTGAAGCAAGGCTCCAGGGCAAGGTCTCACGAGAAGCACACAGGGTGCCAGTTGTCCAGAGCCATGCACCTGCAGCTGGGCCACTTGTGTTGCCTGCTAAGCCTGAATGACAATCTTCCCCTCTATCTTTTTTTTTTTTTTTTTTTTTTTTTTTTTTTTTTTTTTTTTTTTTTTTACTACGTGGTGCGTATATTTGCCAGAAAGAGACAAGAGAGAGGGAAAGCATCCTCCAGGGGGGATGGTCACCCCATATTCCCTTCTCCATCCTCCTCTCAGGATTCTGGGCATGCCCTGTATGCTTCTCACCCTGCTGAGGCCAGGACTCTAGTGGCAGTCAGCCATGTGGGATCCAGCCACCTTGACCTCCACACACCTGCTGCTCCCACCACCATGGTCCCCTCCTGCCTTTTAATACCTTGGGGTTGCCTAACGTCTCAGCAGCTGAAAGAACCTGTAAAGAGCCCTGGAAACCATGACCTCTTTGGGAAGCCCCAGTAGTTGTGGGGAGGCTGGGGCAGGGGCCCTTCCTGCTACTCTCGTGGGCGCCTCCTCCTCCTGACACTGTACTTCATGAAATCTGGAGACTTGGCCATGGCGTGCTCAAACTCTGAGAAGGACAGCATGTTGTCATTGTCCAGATCCGACTCGCTCAGCACCTGGAGGGAAGGAGGCAGCGAGGGGCTGGCGTCAGACTGTAAAACGGAGGCCCAGGGGGAGGCAGAAACACCTGGAAGCCCCACCCAGTCCCCCAGGAGACAAGCTCCCCTCCCTCAGAGAGAGGTGGTCACATGGGCTAAGGTCCGAGGCTTTGACTCAATCTCACTTCTGGGGATATTTTCCTCAGCGCCTCCAGTACCGATTAGTCAGTGAGGATGGGGTGCCCACATTTGCCCTGTCACCCAGCCACAAAGGGCCAGGCAGGTAGAGCGGTGGCAGTGACTCAGCCGCGCTCGGTTAGGTCTTCTAGGCCCCAACCAGACCAGATCACCGGCAGGCTCTCACGGGCTGAGAACAAAGGGACGTGTGACCTGTCTGGGTCTCGGGGGCTGTCTTCGTGTCTTGACACTCTAGGAAACCTGGACGTTGTGTTGTGCAGGATTACGTGAGGAGGGGGCAGTGTGATGTGTCCACCTGATGCTAAGCTGCCATCGGCCCACCTGCCTGCAGTGACTGCCCCCGCCCAGAGAAGGTGGGCCTGCCACACTGCTCCGGGGACCCTGGGAGGGTCTTGGAGAAAGGACAAAAAATTGAGGAGTAGTGGCCTTTGGGTGTATGCCCGTTTCTCAGGGCACTTGGCCCTGCCTGATCCCCATGGTGGCCACCAGGGAACGTGTGCACCAACGGCCAGTGTGCCATCTGCTCAGGCTTAGTCCTAGGCCTCCTCCCGAGAGGGCGGCTCGACATCTGGAGGGTGTGGGTGATGGCCTAGCCCCAACGTCCCCATGGCCCCGGTGCACACATGGTTCGTGAGATCCATCAGCAGGTCCTCAGACACATCGTCACTGCTGAGCAGTCGCAGGATGATCCTCTGCAGGTCCTCCTCGTCGATGAAGCCGTTCTCATTAAAGTCTGCAGAGAGAGGCGGGGCCTGCGTTGGAAGGAGTTGGGAGCTGAACAGCAGGTGGCATTGAAGAGGAGCCCATGGCACCAGCCAGGACCTGACAGACTTCCATTAGCGCCCAAGTGCCCCGGGTGGGTCTCGAACCTGGGACTCTGGAAGGCCCAGGCAGGCTGAAGAACAGGACGCTGCACAGCGGGGCAGCCCTCTGAGGCTGCAGACAAATACGATCCGCAGTAACACACCAGAAATGCCCAGGAGCCTGGCTGAGTATGCACGGCATGCTCAGACTCGTCCTGAGGGTCGTGCCTGTTTTTAAGTCATTGAACCTCACGATCAATCTCGTTAGTCTTATTTTACCAAAAGGAAACTGAGGCACAGAGGTGTTCTATGGTTTTCACATGGCTGAGAAGAGAAAGGGCAGCGATTCACACTCAGCTAGGCCCGTGGGCATTTCTGGCATTTCTGGTCAGCTAGGCTGACCCCTGAGCTCCAGTCAGCCACAGCACTGTGGAAATGTCTGTCTGGTCACTCAGAAGCTGAGTGCCTGTGTAGCTAGGAGCTGGCATCCCGGGAGGGGAGGCAGCTTGGATTTAGAGCAGAGGGCCCAGGTGCCAGTCCCTGCTCTTATGCAGTAGCTGTGTGGCCTAGGCTTAGCCTCTCCTACAAGTGCAGTGGGGACAGTGGTCTTTGTATGAGGGGTAGGCTCAGAGGACAAGAGGTGGCCTGCCTTCCGACCTGGAGCAGCCTCCTTCCTGACATGAAGACCATAAATGGATGAGACTAGGCCTCATCCTCCACCCTGGGCAGGGCGTGAAAGGGTAGGGGAGAGGGGCTAGAAGCCTCCAGGAGCTAGAAGCTCCTCTTCAATGCCACGAGAGCCCACAGAGCCTCATGCTTCCCTATAACCACCATGCTGTGGGGACCCTGGTGTGCACAGAGGGTGCTGGCAGGGACCTAGGCGGGGGGGGGGGTGCACCGTGACCTCTCAGACCTCTGTGGGTCCTGCTGTGTTCTTCAACCTGTAGCCTCACACAGCCGAACCCGATTTCCAGGACAAGGCCCAGTTCCCACCTACTGTCCTGACGATTCAGGGAGTGCCCTGGCCCTTGTTGGACCATAGGTCCTTGTTTTCGAGCTGGAAATTATGTCATGGCATAAGTCCCCTGAGCATCGGCCAGCCAGGGCCCTGGCCATAGCCTGAGCTTCTCAGCAGTGCCCACGAAGTTCTACTCACAGACAGTGAGTGCCCACTGGGTGCCTGTGGCTGAGATAGGCGTGGTGTGCAGAGCTGTACTGGCTGGTCCCTGCCTGCAAGGAGCTTCCGGCCTAGGGGAGGAGGAGCGGCCTGACGCCAGAAAGAGAAGAATGGGCACCCTAAAAGAGTCACCAGGGCTCTGAGGGGTTCCAGGCAGGTAAGTTCTTAGCTGGTTGGGGTTGAGGTGTGAGTGAGGAAGACTTCTTGGAGGAGGAAGCATTAGGGATGGGCCTGAAGGGTATGAGCCACAAAGGTACTGGTTGGAGGAGGTGCCCACCATGCCCAAACTCCTGATACTCCCCCTGTTGGCCCTGGCCCCCAAACCGGCTTCACTAACACCTGTGCCTTGGTAATCAGGCACCTCCACCCTTCCAGGCTAAGGCCAATAAGCACCGAGTCATCCTTCACTCTCCTTCCCTCGTGTCTGTGGCCAAGCCCTCCTTGCTCACCCCTCAAAGATGATAAACGTGGACCCTGACTGCTTCATGCTGTGCCACTTCCACCCTGGTCCCCATCTCTCCTCTCTGAGACCAGGCCCGTCCGGGCAGCCTCCCACTGTATTTCCCCGCCATCTCTGCCCCCTTTAGTCTAGTCTCAACTTGGCACTCAGCGTGCTCTGTTAATCATCTGTCCTTCCTGCATCCTCCACCTCCCCCGGGCCCTGATCGCCAAGCCTGCCCTGCGCTCACTCTGCACCCCCCACCAGTCCTCCATCAAGCCGGATGTGCTCCTGCCTCAGGGCCCTGGCACAGGGTCTGCCCTGCCTGGAGCACTCTCGCCCTAGAGATCCTTTGAGTCTTTAGTCAGTCTTTAGCTTCTCACTAGGGCACTACCCAGCCCCTGCGCAAAGCTTCGCTTCTAACT